TCTTCTTACTGAAAACAATTTTGGAGCTAACATATATACAACTTTCAATAATTACTATTTAACATTATTTGAAAAGTGATTTATCAAAATTGTTTCTGTTTCATTACTAAAATAACTCTTACAAAATTAATATGACGTGTCATCTTATTTCATTAGTCATAAAGTTCTATAAATCATCATATTATGCAATGTAATTTCTATTTAAAATAAATAAACAACTTATGTTATCCAATATTCTATATCTTTAAAAACACGAATATCTGTATACAAGATTTATTAATAATGTATCAATGTGTTATTTCGGATTTAACTTCACAAACAAAACAAAAAAAATGAACACAAGATATACTACAGTATACAAAGATTAAGTGTATACACAAGGCAGTAGTGAAGAACGCTAGATATAGAAATATCGGATATTATTGTCTCTTGACCCTTGAGATATTTGGGGTGCATAGTTAGTAGGAATTTGTGGACTATTATTATCTTCGATGTTTTAATGGTTTTCGTAAAACAATGTTATGTAAAAAAATCAAAGAAAGTTTCAAAGAATTTGCTATTTTTAGTAAGAGAGGGTTAGTTGGATAGATGAAAGTCATCTTTTGCGGGTTAGTTGGATAGATGAAATACATATTCATGCAATTGGGATGGAATTTCTGTCAAATGAAGAACAAAAATGGAATTAGTCGATGTCAAACAAATTAAACGAGTAATAGTCTTTATTGTAGTGATTATTATAGTGAAACGTAGCGGTGGTCCTATCTTAGATACTTTTTATTACTACACATAATAATTTACAGAGGAGGTTGTTAAGGCATTTTTTCAAATACAAACAAACAAAAAATAGGGGTAAGCAAACCTTTGTGTCAACTTTTATCAGAAGAATTTATTCATACATATTTCGGTTTATTTATGGTTTAGTTTAATGCAATATTGATTTGGTTCAATTGATTAATATTTTATGCTTGTAATATGATTACATATATTTTGATATATCCTAATGATCACTTAACAACACTACTTTTTTCCTTCTTCTTCATGTTAAGAAGCTCACTTTCTCTAAGCCTCTTTATCATTTCTTCACATTTCTTCACAAACAAAGAGACAAAAACCATTATTTCTTCTAAATTGAAACAATGTTGACCATCCTCTTTGTTTTGTTGTCAATCATCTCTACAACTCACACTTGTGAGCATATGTCAAGGTTTGAAACAAGAGGATTTTTAGTCTACAAAGTCTCACACAATGGATGTGGTACCTTTACAACTATACAAGAAGCTATAGAAGCAATTCCAACTTCAAACCGAAGCAAGAAGCTCATACTTGTTGATTCCGGTGTCTACAAGTTAGTGTTTCCTCTCAATCATCTTTTGTTTCCTTACAATTGTTGCATTGTGTAATAAGATTTTGATGTTGTTAGGGAGAGGGTTATTGTTCATGAGAACAAGACCAACATCTTGATGCAAGGGATGGGTTACTTAAACACATCAGTGGAGTGGAATAACACGGCAGCTACTTCGAATGGCACTTTCGAAAGTTTCTCGGTTGCAATACTTGGAGAAAAATTCACGGCCAAAAATATAAGTTTCAAGGTATAAATATTCACTTTTTCTATGGTTTACTTGCGTTTAAAGATTAAAGGTTTTTAGATTTTTTTATTGAGTTTTGTGTGGAATTAGATTTGGTTCTCTCATCTATATACACAACATAACTAAAAAGATGGTTGCTTGGAACTTGAGAAAGGAAGATAACAAAGTTTGGAAGTGTTGCTTCCCCTGTTTTGTTTCATTTCATGAATTTTTTTCCTGCTTTGTTGACCATTTTGTTTTGATTATGTTATAGGAACCTAATATTGAACTTGTTACCTTGAATTTTCATTTGATTTGGGGACTATTTATTTTTGATTTTATTGGTCCCATGTTGATGAAATTGTTTCAAGGTAAGGTCATAAGATCAACAATCAAATTTTCTTGTGATTATGACTTCTCTCATTCATACACCACCTTCTGTTTGGCCGGATGAAGAACACCGCACCGGAACCAGAGCCTGGTGTGGAAGGTGCACAAGCGGTAGCCTTGAGGATCGAGGGAGATCATGCGGCTTTCTATGGGTGCGGGTTCTACGGGGCTCAAGACACGCTTCTCGATGGTCATGGAAAACATTTCTTCAACAACTGTTTTATCCAAGGCTCTATTGACTTCATCTTCGGCAATGCAAGATCCCTCTACATGGTAAAAAACTGAAAACATATGCATGTGAGATCTTTAAAATATGATAACAACTTCAAATTGTATGCAGGACTGTACAATCGTGTCGACTGCGAAAGAGTCAAGCGGAGGGATTACGGGATATATCACAGCCCATGGAAGAATTTCAGAAGATGAGAAGAGTGGATTCTCGTTCGTCAACTGCAAAATAAGCGGAACCGGGAAGGTCTTGCTTGGACGAGCATGGAGACCCTATGCGACTGTCGTGTTTTCAAACACGTACATGTCACAAATCATCTCTCCAGAAGGATGGAACGATTGGGGCAATCGAACTTGGGAGGAGTAAGCGTACTACAAATTGTTATCAAATCAGCCATACAAGATCTCAAGTTGTCCTAAATGGTTTTTTCTTTTCTTTTCAGGACGGTCTATTTCGGAGAGCATAGAAGCTACGGGGAAGGAGCAGAGTACAAAGACAGAGTTTCATACAGTAAACAACTAACCGACTCTGAAGCAGCTTCATTCACGAGCATCTCTTACATAGATGGAGACAAGTGGCTTAATCAAACTGACCTACCTCTCCACGGTTAACTTTGAAGAGCACAAAGAAGATATTATCAGTTCTTACTGATGTATGTAAGCATTCTAATGCAGCTACCTAGTCCGAAACAATGCATAGACATATGATCTTACTAATTACCTTGTTGGAAATGAAAAAAAAAAAAAATCAGATTCTACTAGATTTTATGTTTCAGCAGACAATTAAAAAATTGTAGGTTTAACTTGTTCCTGCTTTAATAAGTAGTCATTGACTTAATTTCCTTTGACCTGACTCTCTTATAGTACATCTGTTGTTTACATAACAAAATTCATGTGCTATTAACAGCTCCCTTGAAGAATCTCATGATTTACAGAACTTACACCCCATCATAGATAGCTACCAGTGAATGATCCTTTTTCCATACACAGTCGTATGTATGTATGTACCAATGAATGATCCTTTTCCAAAATCTTAACCTTTGAAGCACACTGAAACACCCAAAAAACATGATCGAAAAGCATTATTCTACCTGGAGCCAAACACAAGTAGAAAGTCTTACTCTTGTTGAAGCGCCACCTAAAACATGACCCATTTATAATATTCCCAATGTCTCCTATAAGGTCAGCTCCAATATTCCAAGCAAGTGTGGCTTAGGAKAATGAGCTATACATGTCAAACCCTTCGACAAAAATGAGTCTCTTGTTAATTTTTCYAGTGAAGCACCAAGAAACATTGGCTACTCCCGAGTCCTGAAGCATTCCAATTCTGCTTTCTACCACCAGATTTGGCATTAGAGCATGTACATTGGGATGCTCTCAAGTGTGTTCTTAAAATATAAATTATTAAAATTTGAGTAAAAGGAAGAAAGAGAGTGTTTTTTTTTTGTGTATTGAATATAAAATTAATAAAATTTGAGTAA